CAGGCCGACTGACATTAAGACACATAAGCAGCCATATTGCAACCAACCAGACCGTGACATTAAGACACACAAGCAGCCACACTGCAACCTCCCAGGCCGAGTGACATTAAGACACACAAACAGCCACACTGCAACCTCCCAGGTTGAGTGACATAAAGACACACAAACAGCCACACTGCAACCTCCCAGGCCGATTGACATTAAGACACACAAACAGCCACACTGCAACCTCCCAGGCCGAGTGACATTAAGACACATAAGCAGCCATATTGCAACCAACCAGGCCGAGTGACATTAAGACACACAAGCAGCCACACTGCAACCTCCCAGGCCGACTGACATTAAAACACACAAACAGCCACACTGCAACCTCCCAGGCCGACTGACATTAAGACACATAAGCAGCCATATTGCAACCAACCAGGCCGTGACATTAAGACACACAAGCAGCCACACTGCAACCTCCCAGGCCGAGTGACATTAAGACACACAAACAGCCACACTGCAACCTCCCAGGTTGAGTGACATAAAGACACACAAACAGCCACACTGCAACCTCCCAGGCCGATTGACATTAAGACACACAAACAGCCACACTGCAACCTCCCAGGCCGAGTGACATTAAGACACATAAGCAGCCATATTGCAACCAACCAGGCCGTGACATTAAGACACACAAGCAGCCACACTGCAACCTCCCAGGCCGACTGACATTAAGACACACAAGCAGCCACACTGCAACCTCCCAGGCCGAGTGACATTAAGACACATAAGCAGCCATATTGCAACCAACCAGGCCGTGACATTAAGACACACAAGCAGCCACACTGCAACCTCCCAGGCCGACTGACATTAAGACACACAAACAGCCACACTGCAACCTCCCAGGCCGACTGACATTAAGACACACAAACAGCCACACTGCAACCTCCCAGGCCGAGTGACATTAAGACACACAAGCAGCCACACTGCAACCTCCCAGGCCGACTGACATTAAGACACACAAGCAGCCACACTACAACCTCCCAGGCCGAGTGACATTAAGACACACAAGCAGCCACACTGCAACCTCCCAGGCCGAGTGACATTAAGACACACAAGCAGCCACACTGCAACTTCCCAGGCCGAGTGACATTAAGACACACAAGCAGCCACACTGCAACCTCCCAGGTCGAGTGACATTAAGACACACAAGCAGCCACACTGCAACCTCCCAGGCCGAGTGACATTAAGACACACAAGCAGCCACACTGCAACCTCCCAGGCCGAGTGACATTAAGACACACAAACAGCGACACTGCAACCTCCCAGGCCGAGTGACATTAAGACACACAAGCAGCCACACTGCAACCTCCCAGGCCGAGTGACATTAAGACACACAAACAGCGACACTGCAACCTCCCAGGCCGAGTGACATTAAGACACACAAGCAGCCACACTGCAACCTCCCAGGCCGAGTGACATTAAGACACACAAACAGCGACACTGCAACCTCCCAGGCCGAGTGACATTAAGACACACAAGCAGCCACACTGCAACCTCCCAGGCCGAGTGACATTAAGACACACAAACAGCGACACTGCAACCTCCCAGGCCGAGTGACATTAAGACACACAAGCAGCCACACTGCAACCTCCCAGGCCGAGTGACATTAAGACACACAAACAGCGACACTGCAACCTCCCAGGCCGAGTGACATTAAGACACACAAGCAGCCACACTGCAACCTCCCAGGCCGAATGACATTAAGACACACAAACAGCGACACTGCAACCTCCCAGTCCGACTGACATTAAGACACACAAACAGCCACACTGCAACCTCCCAGGCTGAGTGACATTAAGACACACAAGCAGCCACACTACAACATTGCAACCACACAGGTCTCACTAGACTCGCGATATCTTCTGTCTTTGAATCGCTACAGGTCGCAAATGTCTGTGAGAAACGGTCCATTGTTTCAGTTTGTAATTTTACCTGACATTGATCCATGTTCGCGCTTAACCTAAATCTCTCCATATTTGTCCCTAATAAACTAAGTGTCATCAGAAGTTAACACCCCACCCACCCCACGACACCCACAAATTCGAAAGGACAAATCATATTATTGTTACAGCAAGTCCTGCAAGAGTGATTTGTCCCACTCGATGAGAGTACGAGTATTCCTACTAGTTATTGAGCTATTAAAACAACACCATGGAATTGGAATCCAGAACTTTGTATTTTAAGCTGTAAGCTGTTGCAGATATATGATTGCCTTAATTCTTAATTCATGGTTTTACTTTTATATGCGTTGTAGTTTATGTACCTTTTATTTATATTTTAATATGCTCTTTTTATGAAAAGTCTCTCGTAACCCTGTATAGGGTAGCAGTTACATTTTATACTTGTATACTTTTACATATGATATGTATTTGAGATATAAATTTTTGTATTTTAAAAGTATGTATAAATCATTGTAATGAGGTGAGACTATAATAAACCGTCTGTCTGTCTGTCTGTCTGCATTACCAACTGTAGTTATCAATAGTTACTGAAGCTCACCTTTCACATTAACAATATATATATGAACTCTTATATATTGCAGCTTAATAGAAATATAGCTATAAATGTTTACACTAAAGAATTCACTTCCATTCCTTTGGTTACCTTCACTGGTGAAGAGCTATCATGTGCTCTGACCAGATTCAAGGTTAAATATGTTGCCATGGAGTGAGTGAGTGAGTGAGTGAGCGACCAAGTAGGCCTATTTGATTAGATATATGCCTAGTGCTTTAAAGGTTTTTAAGTCATTAAGTTTCAGTACAGTTGCTAGTGTCATTTGATTGTTGCAATTTAGTGTGGATTGGAGTGTTGTTCTGTGATGCTGGTAATGTGTGCAATATAGTATTACGTGTTCGGGCGTTTCTTTTAAGTTGCAGAGAGCATATATAGTATATGTGCATGTTAGGACAACAAAAGTAATAAGATAACAAAAGGTGGAAACGAACAGGGGAGGCCAACAGATAATTGCCGCTGATGGGTGATTAGCAAAAGACAATAGATGCCAATATTAATTAGGGCTGATGGTTATGGACAACTGGTAGCCCTTACATTATAATTGATTGGTAATGGGCAATGGACAATGGGCAAACGGGAGGCCGGGGGTAATTAGCACTGATGGAAATATCAATAAGGGCAAAAGGAAGCCAGCTAGATAATAAACACCGACAAGGATCAAAGCAATAATCCCAAGCACTGGGCAGATAGGCTCCCTGGTCACGGTTGATGGCTGGCTGGTGTCTCCTGATGTCAATGGCTTCTTGTAGTTTCCTTTGTCGCCAGTTGTTGTTGTTGGTAGACAGGACTTTGGTGGCTTCCCACATGATGTTATGGCCTTGGTTCTTCAGGGTGTGTTCGGAAATGGCCAGAGTTGCAGGGGATCTGGTATATACATCCTCGGGGGTTGGGACTTACGCTGCTTGTACCTCTGTCATTGGTTTGGAGACTTGACCTGAAATCCGCCACTTCCTGAAGAACCAAGACCATAACATCATGTGGGAAGCCACCAAAGTCCTGTCTACCAACACTGTTGCAAAACGAACATATTTATTAAACTATTAAATAGTACAAGCAGCAAAGTCTCTGTACACAGCAATCGTAATTTAAAACATATCGTTTTCGTTGTTTTTTTAAAAATCAGCAAATGTACTATCGCGTCACCGGAGTTTCTGGTTCATTCATCATTTGATAGTCTTGTTCGTTTACAGGCCGTCGTCGCATGGCAGGAGTACTGGTGCGTGGCGTCAGGCAACAAACCTTTTTATGCCAAATGTGTAAATCCCTGGGTGCTATCTGTAGGACAGTACATGCTTACCCATTGACAGGAGTTTTACCGCTATGTTGCCTGTTTCTCCCAATGGAATCTGTTTCGGCGGAGAAATGATTATCGGGTGTTGACATTTCATATTAATGATACAACACCAATAACAATTGTTTGTTGTCCGTCCATAAAAGCTGAATTTCCCGAGGTTGCATCCTCTTTCACGAACTTAATCTCTGGTTAATCTTGATCTTGAATGTAAGTCCACACAATTCTTCACATAAAGACATTGTTAGCTTTGGCAAGATATATTCAGGAAAGATAATGTGGAAACAAGCCTTCTTAACGATTTTTATTCGATTAAACTTATATATTTAAAGGTGAGGTGACAAGGTGTTAAAAGGTACCATTCAAACTAACAGCACTTACATACCAGCAACGTACATGCACGTTTGATGTGTGTACCTGCTTGTACTAGTCTGGACTAAAGCCGGTTTATAGTGCTAGCCCACTGTGATAACATGCCACAGTCATAACACGAACACCCACTGACACAGTGTACGGGCTCAACTCAACCAGTCTCGTTTGATCCCCTTAATGCCAACAGCCAGGCAGGGTAACAGCCGACAACTTTTAACACTCTTTGGTATACACACGGATAGGAATCAAACCACCGGCGGACGCATTATCCACTGGACCACGGATGCATCTATCGTATATTGGAGGGGATTCCTTAATAGCCTGAGTTCATACTCTTATGAGAACATCAGTGTCTTCAGATAAGTAATTAGCCAGAGTGAGTGAGTGAGTATGGTTTTACAGCGCTTTTAGCAATATTCCAGCGATATCACGGCGGGGGACACCATACATGGGCTTCACACATTGTACCCATGTCGGGAATCGAACCCGGGTCTTCGGCGCCCGACCGCCCCGTAATTAGCCAGAAGTATGCATACTTATACATTGCTTGGAACCATCTTTCATTCAGCAAACTTTCACATCAAATACAGTTTGGCAGACTTCTAAAAAATCGAGATGCGGTGTCATCACTGATATTTAGTGATTTTTTTCCCTTTTATATAATTTTCATCGCAAGTATGCCTTTAATGCCCAATAGAATCTGTGTCATCAGATCATTGAGACTAGCTATTCTCTGGAATTGATTTTTTATATTTGAAAAAGAACACAATAACCAAAAAAAGGAAGGACAAGGTTTTATTTTCATTACTGATACGATAAATACGAATAAACAGTATACAGTGTTTGCAAACAGACAAAACGAAGACCCACATGCCTTTTATATTGATAAACATTCCCAAACCGAATTATATCAGTATTTCCACAATGGAGTAAATAGGTATACTCTGTGAAAGGTTATCAAATAATAATGGATTATCTCAGAAATATCAAAATCAACTCTTACAAGTTGAGAACAAAACATTTGACTTAGCACCCAAATCATTTGTTTTAAGTCAAATTATGACTTTCTTTTTGTACATTTCAGGTAGTGAGGGTCATTCAAAGTGTTAACATAGTGCAGTAATTGTACTTGACAAAGCATTGCACAAGGGTTTTCTTCCAAACCCATCATTTGTCATTTGATAATATGAAATTAAAACAACATAATTATATCTGAAGAATATTACACTAAACCTTGTGTCATATTTGATTTGTATTTTTCTGCACATAACCTACCTTTCCGTTTATATGCAAAACATCTCAATTGCTATAAAGAGAGATTGTTTCTGTCATCTTTGGCATATTTCAAAGACCTCAAGCCACAGACTTGATCACATAAATAAGAATTGTGCCATCTGAATTTTTCCAAGTAGCTTATCTCGATAATTATTTTTGGGAGAAATGGCACAGATACAAGTGTTTACAAAAACACCATCACCAACAAATCAAAATGACACAATTCTTTCAAAACGACTCATTATATAACATATTTTCCTGATGCTAACTAATACAAGCATTACGATAAACTGCAAATAAAAGCATTACAACTGTCACAAAAATCAAGACTAACTGGACAGAGGTTATACAGATAGACTTAAAAAGAGTAATTTAATAATTACTTATCAATATTTATATTCCCCTCTGTCAGGCCGGTTTCATTTGCACTGGTAATGAACACATTTGCTTTAATGACGGAATCTGCCATTTTCCCCATGACACAAGAAATTCTGTTTATCATTAGCCATTTTCCCATGACATCAGAAACTCTGTTTATCATTAGCCAGTTTCCCATGACACAAGAAACTCTGTTTATCATTTGCCAGTTTCCCATGACAAAAGAAACTCTATTTATCATAAGCTAGTTTCCCATGATACAAGAAACTCTGTGTATCATTAGCCAGTTTCCCCTTGACACAAGAAACTCTGTGTATCATTAGCCAGTTCCCCCTTGACACAAGAAACTCTGTGTATCATTAGCCAGTTTCCCCTTGACACAAGAAACTCTGTGTATCATTAGCCAGTTTCCCCTTGACACAAGAAACTCTGTGTATCATTAGCCAGTTTCCCCTTGACACAAGAAACTCTGTGTATCATTAGCCAATTCCCCCTTGACACAAGAAACTCTGTGTATCATTAGCCAGTTTCCCCTTGACACAAGAAACTCTTGTGTATCATTAGCCAGTTTCCCCTTGACACAAGAAACTCTGTGTATCATTAGCCAGTTTCCCCTTGACACAAGAAACTCTGTGTATCATTAGCCAGTTTCCCCTTGACACAAGAAACTCTGTGTATCATTAGCCAGTTCCCCCTTGACACAAGAAACTCTGTGTATCATTAGCCAGTTTCCCCTTGACACAAGAAACTCTGTGTATCATTAGCCAGTTTCCCCTTGACACAAGAAACTCTGTGTATCATTAGCCAGTTCCCCCTTGACACAAGAAACTCTGTGTATCATTAGCCAGTTTCCCCTTGACACAAGAAACTCTGTGTATCATTAGCCAGTTTCCCCTTGACACAAGAAACTCTGTGTATCATTAGCCAGTTTCCACTTGACACAAGAAACTCTGTGTATCATTAGCCAGTTTCCTCTTGACACAAGAAACTCTGTGTATCATTAGCCAGTTTCCCATGACACAAAAAATACTCTGTTTATCACCTGTGCAAACAAAACGGACATGACATAAAACATGACATAGGTACATTTTCTTTCCCTGTCTACTGAATCTTGAAACTGTGGCAAAAGCCTGTGACAGAGACATATGAGGAAGGTGCTAATGAGATGCTAAATAATGCTCTTTACATGGCATCTAAGAAGCTGAAGACAGAGTTGACATGGATTTCATCCTCTTTATTCTTATCAACCAGATACAATTAATAAAAGTACAAGCAAATGTTCTGAAACATTGAATTGGTGGAATAACAAAGTTGAAATGCTAAGTAAGCTCTTGTCTTTATAAATGATTGTTAATATAAGCAATAAAGAGAATAGGAAAATGCATCTGTGCAAACTACAAGTTGCTATAGGCCTCCAGTGAGTCATCCTGCAACCAGCTTGTCTACAAGGAGTTTACTACAACATACACAACAATAGAGTGGTTAAATAATCCACATTGACAATTAAATCTTGTTAATTCACATGGCACTGCACAACAAGAAGCCAATAATATCTATATAAGACCATGATGTTTAAACATCACTCATAGCTGGCACATGTGATCCAACACGTTTTTCTTCAAACATAAGAAACTTGATACTTGATACTTGTTAATGAATGTAGTAGACATCGTCAAGTTCAGTGTCCTCTGACACGAAACTAGGGTAAATCCGGTTATGATTGACATGTTCATGTATCACAGAGCTTCCTTTCTAGGATTGTATCCAGCATTAAGGCAAACAAAAATACCAATACATCCTGTTCAACTTTTGAAATATTTGGCAGTGATGGGACTTATTTTCATTTAATAATGTGAGAATTTCCTGGTCTGCCTGTCATAATGAATTCAATAGAAATTCAACATTTACTGACCAGAAACTTCAGGGGTTTAAATTGGCAGTTTGTTCAGCAATTAAAAGTGATACTTAACGCACAAGCTGTATCAATCTGTTGAAAGGCGACTACACCAGGGAGAAACGTTATCCCGCTGAATGTAGTGTTGTATACGTCCACTGTTGTCCAGCATTGCAGGCTGACACTCATTTCTTCAGTCTTCAGTTTGTTGTTGTCTTCAGTTTGATGTGAATCATGCATGATCTGCTTACACATCTCAGAACGTATGCCCCTAAACATTATTGCATCCATGTCCAACAAAAGTAGAGTCAACAACTTAAAATAATGGATGCTGTTTGGGGTTTGCTTTCACATAGGTCACCATGTATATATGTATGTTATCAGTTACATTTAACATGGTCATACATGGTTCCACTGTTTAAAATGGGTATAAATTTCACATTCAGCTTTGTTTGAAATATATTGTATTACACTCTGAGATCAACAAACATTTCATGCTATCTTGTAGAGTCCGGGGGATATTCTAGTGAACAATTCTGTTAGCAATATTTCAAACAATAATATGGACATCTTTTACCATGGGTGACTATGACAACATTGTACACAGAATATTCTACACAAACATCAGAGAAGTGGGGATCACCAGATACATTCATAGCCAACGTACTGCGTGGTTATGATCGGCTTTAATAGTCCACATCTTACATTAAGGGCATATAAGGGAAGTAAAACAGGATTGAATTAATTATTATGAATATATATTATTAAGTTAAATAGGTCGCTTCATGATAATAATGTTTCATTTTGAGATATTGTTGCTACTTTGAATTATCAACAGAAAGAACCAAGCATATAGTGGTATTATAATATCAAGGCACTAGTCACACATCATTCATCAATTTATGGTTAACATATATGCAACTACAGCATACAAATCTATATCGACTGGAGTAAGGCTTCCAACGCAAGTTCTCACACAGGCTCTTGATTATGATACTTTTGTCATCAAGCACCTGTGATCTTTGAATCAGTGTCAAACCCAGATACTTCATGAATGTATATACGATAATGTTGGTCATACAATTTCAACTTTTACTTCACATATCATTGAACTGTATGATAAACATGATAAACAGTTAAATAGTAAACAAAATCGCCTTCCTTCGTATTCAAATATGAACTGATGTTTCATGAATATACGTACATCTACGTACAGCGAAAGATGAAGAGATGAAAACAGCTTGGTTCTATCCATGACAGTTTTAAGCAGACTTACATGAGGAATATCAATCCAGAAATTAAATAATTCCTTCGAGAAAACGTTTCTGTGCATCGACTCAACTATGCAAAATGATGCAGGGCATGAAGCCATCCTGATGAAGCTGTACACACAAGGCAGACTCTGAGACTACAGATCAACAACAATGTTTGGGATCGGAAACACAAGCATCAGCTATACTCAGAAAGAATCATACAGAATAACACCAATCTCTGTCCATGAGTAGGTTTGTGTTTTTAGTTTCTCACGAACACAGATTAACATCATTTTGTACATTTCGCCACAAGCATTTTTGCATTTCAGTGTTGGAATCCCGTTCTGTACGAGAGCTATAGTCTCCAACTCTACCTCATGTTGTACATGTTTATACAGACATACTTAACACACTGACAACTTGAACACCTGTTTGTCTGATGGGGAAATATTTGTCAACGTTATCATAGTCACCCTGTGATATTCTAACTATAGAACAGAAAGGAACTACATTAACAAAATCATACTTTGATAGAACAAACTAATGAGTTACCCCGAGGAGCATTTTGCTCTTAATAATCAAAATCATATATAATGAAATAAAAATCCCTGAGCAAACAAAAAAGTTAAGAAATATGGAAGATTTAGCTTCATTAAAAGCTGGTGGTACACATGGGGCTTTGTGTATTCCAACGTGCCTTTCTTCTGCGGTCAGCTTTCGAATTAACTGTCCGTCATCAGTAAACGTTGTGGGTAAATAAGAAAGCTGAGGGCAAGAAAGGCTGTTACAAAATTTGGGAAAATCATGACAGAACCCTTGCGTTTCACCTCACAAGCTACACCTGAGTCACCAGCGTACCACGAGACTCCTGACCCTTGAACTGGGTGTAGTGATCCGGGCAAGATCTTTACACATCAGCTCTTGGGGAGAGTATGCCCCACATCTTCATGGTGTGCACATACAGTGTAGCCAGCTTGGAGCCCTATTCCGGATCAGCATTTCCTTAACCACAGAAAGATGATGATTGTGGTAACAGGCTGGCTGTTCTGGCCATTTGTGTTATGGCTGATCCATCTTGGTATTTCTGTAAGCTGATGTGCTGCAGCGTAGAAATATTCCATCTTCTCATCCACAATTCGTCTGGTGAGGTGCGATGTTGTTCACCCTGGTTGTGGCTTGGCTCGGCTCTGTCATATTCTGTCATGTGTTTCCCCAAACTTGCCAGCAGGAGGACGTGCAGGGGATGCCCTGTGCTGCCTCCACTTAGTTATGTAAATGGAGTGCCTAGAACTCATCTAGGGAGTGTTTTCACTTCAACCTGTAAATAAAAGGGAGAGCAGCTAGATGAAATTATGGGAATATCTGCCACGGATATTTGTGAAACTTGATAGGCAACAGAAATTACAACAGTGTTTCACTCTTTTTATCCCTCTTATTCATCTTGGAAACCTGCCTACAATCCCATTTGACACCTTATGTTTCATATTATTATCATTGAACCTTAGTTAACATATTTATATCAACATAAACACAATTGCCATTTAGTATGGTTCTCAGGACTGGACTTTTCCCTTGTTGCCAATTCATCTTTACAACATGGCAGTACCAGTGAATAGAATGGTGTGTATCATCAACTGATCTAAAGGTTATCTATTAGTTTTATGATTTGGTTTCATGGAGCATTGTCTTACAGAAGTGTTCACTATTACAGTCCATTATCGGTGACCAGGTCTCCGTTTTCGTCCGGGACGTCTTGGCCTCTGGACAGAGGTGGTGGGTGGATCACATCACGGGACATCAGCACCTGAAACACAAACACATCCCATCATACACAGCAGGAAGACACTATCTCTTATACTGCAAGGGCACAAAGACAACTTTACAAAGCAGGGCACCGTTCCACAGAGCAATCGTAGTGCTACGACTGTCGTAAGCCTATGTTAAAGTATGGGAGCTACGATCATCTTAGCGTTACGACTGTCGTAAGCCTATGTTAAAGTAGGGGAGCTACAATCATCTTAGCGCTACGACTGTCGTAAGCCTATGTTGAAGTATGGGAGCTACGATCATCTTAGCGCTACGACTGTCGTAAGCCTATGTTAAAGTATGGGAGCTACAATCATCTTAGCGCTACGACTGTCGTAAGCCTATGTTAAAGTAGGGGAGCTACGATCATCTTAGCGCTACGACTGTCGTAAGCCTATGTTTAAGTATGGGAGCTACGATCATCTTAGCGCTACAACTGCCGTAAGCCTATGTTAAAGTATGGGAGCTACGATCATCTTAGCGCTACAACTGCCGTAAGCCTATGTTTAAGTATGGGAGCTACGATCATCTTAGCGCTACAACTGCCGTAAGCCTATGTTTAAGTATGGGAGCTACGATCATCTTAGCGCTACAACTGCCGTAAGCCTATGTTTAAGTATGGGAGCTACGATCATCAACCCTCATGATATCCAAGTGACATACCGGTTCAGTAGAAGCATTTCCCGATGAGGCGTACCCCGTCTGCTGTTGACCTGTAGAGTACAACAGTGTGAGTACAACAGTGTGAGTACAACAGTGTGCATACAACATGTTACAGGCCATAAATGGAATGTCAGTAATTCTGTGTGATACAGCAGAAGAATTACAAATGAGGATGAATATATAGACACCTTCAAAATTAATTAATTTCTGCTAATTCTAAGGCTACCTTTATGTTTGAGAGTATTTGTTTGACTTGCAGGGCTAGTACCAGTTTCTACTGCAGGTCCTATTTTATATAATGTGATTGAGTTTGATAACCGTTTTCATTATTCACTTCAAGACATGAAATAAGTTTATTCAAGGTCCGCCCGAAGGTCATCACATGCTCGGTTGTTAACCTTGCAGCCCTTGAACATTCAGTGGTCCCCTTGAGGGTGAGGATTATTTCCTGAGAAGGATTCACAGAAGACATTCTTGATGTCCTGAAAATACCATTGAATGTTGTATATATATCATGCCCCCTTACTGTGATATACCAAGGTCTCCAAGTGTTGCTAGATTCACCAGCTTGTATATCATGATCCCTTACTGTGATATACCAAGGTCTCCAAGTGTTGCTAGATTCACCAGCTTGTATATCATGACCCCTTACTGGGATATACCAAGGTCTCCAAGTGTTGCTAGATTCACCAGCTTGTATATCATGATCCCTTACTGGGATATACCAAGGTCTCCATGTGTTGCTAGATTCACCAGCTTGTATATCATGACCCCTTACTGTGATATACCAAGGTCTCCAAGTGTTGCTAGATTCACCAGCTTGTATATCATGACCCCTTACTGTGATATACCAAGGTCTCCAAGTGTTGCTAGATTCACCAGCTTGTATATCATGACCCCTTACTGTGATATACCAAGGTCTCCAAGTGTTGCTAGATTCACCAGCTTGTATATCATGATCCCTTACTGTGATATACCAAGGTCTCCAAGTGTTGCTAGATTCACCAGCTTGTATATCATGACCCCTTACTGTGATATACCAAGGTCTCCAAGTGTTGCTAGATTCACCAGCTTGTATATCATGATCCCTTACTGTGATATACCAAGGTCTCCAAGTGTTGCTAGATTCACCAGCTTGTATATCATGACCCCTTACTGGGATATACCAAGGTCTCCAAGTGTTGCTAGATACAGCCACAATAACAAGGTATTACAACTCCACACTCACGCTTGATCTTGCCACACATCTCACACACCGTCCTGCTGGGGATGTTGGAGAAGGTGCAGAAGTCACATGTCCACTGACTCTGGATGACCGGTGAGTTCGGGACACCTCCCATCTGGGGCCCTGCGCCATACTGCATGAATGCCGGATCTGTGAATCGAGCAATCAATACTTTCAAAATTCCTAAACCAACTAAACTGTTTTCAACAGGGCCATACTTAAGATTTTGATTTTTTTGTTTGTTGTTTAACGCCACGCTCAAAAACAGTCCAGGCACATGACGTCATTTCGAAAATAATCGGGTCTGGACAAGACAATCGAGTGATTGACAACATGAGTATCAATCTACGCAATTGGGATCGATGAAATGCATCAACCAAGTCGGCGAGCCTGACCACCTGATCCCGTTAGACACCTCTTACGACAAGCATAGCCGCCTCTTTTGGCAAGCATTGGCAAGCATCAAGACCTATTCTAACCCATATATTCACGGGTCCATATTTAAGAAAAGCTTAAATTAAGAAATTGTATGGTGCATGTTCAAATTTATAACTGCTCAATATCACTTAGACCATGATGGATCTAGTCAGAAAGGCTTGCTTGAAGAGACAGGTCTTTAGTGACTTTTAAAGTTTGTCAGTAATGTCAGCATGTTTAGTTTAATAATCTTACTGTTCATGTTCATTTGTGGATGGTTGAATGCTTGGGGTGACTGTGGCATGAAGCCTGCCCCGCCCATCTGTCCGTGGGGTGAGAAGCCCTGTATGGGTGTGTTGGGGTACATGGGCATGTTCTGGAAGGTGGGCTGGTTCTGGTAGCGTGGGTATGTATGGTTCATCATATTCCCCTGGAACTGTGGGAGGCTGCTCTCCTGCAGTCGCCGATTCTGGAGACAGAAAAAAACCCCAGGAATATCAGACGGGGTGATGTCTCCATAAAAAATATCCAATTCATTACAAAAAATACAAAATATTAGCTCCACTGTTCATATAACCAATAAACTCTTAGATGTCAGCAGAGATAATTTGTGAATTAGGATAATTGGGACTTGAAATTTGATATGAAAATTAGTAATCACTACAAGTATGATTGACTGCATGTTTTGATTAATATAATTCAGGTTTTTCATTGCATATAAAACTCAAAATATGTAAACCTTCCAATGGCATGCTAAAACATGTGATTTATAATTGGTTGTAAAATGTCTGTATACCCAGCAAGGTCAAGAACTAACTCAACAATCGGTATATTTTGTCAAATATTTTGTAATATCTTAAGTGGAATGTGCTTAAGTGTTTTTAATTATTCAGAAAAAGAGAATGTTGTCTTGTATCTCAAATGTAAGAATGAGTCAGTGATCATGGTGGTAGCAGGTTGGGGGCTTACCTACCTGACCTACATGACCCTGACCTACATGACCTTGACCTACCTGACTCTGGAGGTCACGGAGCTGTGTCTGCAGACTCTCGTTACGCTGCAGGGTCTGCTGCATTGTCGCCTCGTGACTCTTCAGCTGAAAAACAAACCATCCACTACATCAGTGCTGAAGATGACCATAAAGTTGCGGCAGTGTCAGCAGCAAACAACGCAAATATGAATTAAAATATGCATCCATATCAGAAAGGCAAACAATGAATTGAAAATTGGGAAGGGTTGGGGTCCTAGTATATGCGTCTCCCCACAGATACACAGTTCAATATCCAATATCTTTGTAAATCTGAAGGAAACCTAGCTCAGAATGGTTGGGAATTATGTGTAGAAATATAATAATAACAGAAACTGTGTTAAACTGAGAGTGAAATATTCTCTTGTTTCATGAATCCTGCTTAAATGATACTTGAAAATGAAATGTGCATCAGTAACTGGTTTAGAGCCCTGAAAATTATAACCGGTGCTTTTCAATCCAGCAGTGCATCAAGAAAATATACAACATGACAAATTTTCTGTTTCCTTAACAGAGCAACCCAGATGAAGCTGAATGTGATACCTTTTGTTCCAGGAACTTGGTTCGACGCGTGAGGGGTTCCTTCTCTTCTCTGACCTTCTCCAGCGTAGTCTGAAGGTCATCCCTAGCAGACTGGGCAGCAGCACGGTCTTGTCTCTCGCGGTCAAAATCTTCCTCGAACACAGTCAGCTGTCACACATCAACACACTGGTCATAAAGATTGCTGTCGTACCAACAATGACGTTTATTGAAAATACCAGAGCAAAAATCAGACTACTTCGAATTTCTAAGGAATATACTTCAGTTTTAACACCCGTATCACACTGTTTGGAAGGTGGGGCTTTGGTTTGAGATCAACATTTTTTAAATAATGTTTAGGAGCTTAGCCATTTTTTTCAACATAAACGGGAGCTCAATTATTCATTTTTTTAAATAAATATATATAATGAACTGTATTCTTCGGTCACTTCATTGTAGTCTGCAAGAAACAGGACATGTAAGTTTTTTTCTGTAGACAAGGGGTTTGAATATTTTTTAGAACAAATCCTACCCAGCTCTGTCCAATCCAGAAAATCAAATGCTCGATCCCTAAACTTAATCATGTGAACATGGCACATACCTGCTGTCTCAGGACCTCAATCTCAGTGGTCAGATCCTCTCTGCTTCGTTCCATCCCAAACTGGCCACTTCTCATGTTGCCTTGGTAACGAGATTTGAGCACACCGAGTTCCGCCTCCAAACTGTGTTTGTCCCGGATCGCGGTCTCCAAGCGGGCCTGGAGCTCACCCAGCTGATCCTGCAGACTCCGCCTCTGGTATGTGCACTGGTCGAACCTCATCAGCGCTTCTTCCTTCGCAGTCTACAAACACAAGTCAGAAAGTGTTACTCGGGGCATTCCCATAACATAAACCAACCCTGATCTCAGTAACATTATCAGAATTGAGATGATTCAGTAGAGCATAATGGCACATTGAAGGAGTAAAAAATCATCTTTGGAGAAAGTCAGCAGTAACCATGGCAACTACAGTCAAACACCATTGTGTTGAAGCTAAAGGGACCTATGTAAATACAACCAAAAAACTTGGTACTCATTTGCTGATTGGCATGAAGAAAGCCTTAGATGAAAAACATGTGCGACAAACAAACAACGGGAACATGAAATAGATGACTAACATTATTCTTAGCATTGATCCTTAACACGAGACTATCATGGCTTCTCTAACTTTAGCATGTGGTGTTGATCAAACGACCTGTTAATCCCCAATAGGCTCATCAATTAAACATTTCTTTGAGGGTAGCTGACAAGACAATAGGTCTCTGACACGGGGAACTCAATACAGTGATACCTGGCTTGTTAAGCCTTGTAATAGAACCGTGATGACCGATGATACGTGGCAAGGTCGTCTCAACAGGGTAAATTTGTGCTGGAAGTACATGTCTGTGACTGGGAGATGACGTCGAGACAATCGTAACTTGTACCCATCAGAGGTTACATAATAATAAAGAAGGAATATGCAGGGACCAAACTTTGAGACAAGCGTAAGTTTGACACAGCAGTGTTTGACTGTTGTTCTTACCTCCACAAGTACCACAGGTTTCACGGCTACGGGAGTAACACTCTGGCTTGACAGACTCAAATGTCTTGAGAGCAAGCTACCAATGTAATCACATGGATGCTTATTGTTTCTGAATATTAATTCTTGAAGATAGCCAGTAGGTAAAGAAATACCTGCAAATTTGCTCTCAGGATGTAATTATTAATTATTAATCAATCCTTGAAAGAACACTTTACTTCAATATAATGACCTTTTTCAATCTTGGAATAACTAGTTTCATTACATAGAGACACTGACCAGAGTGTCACATAGAGTCTCACACTGCAGACCGAGGCCGGACATGGGCATGATAGTCGAGTGCATCATAAATGATTAGTGAGTGAGTGACTGAGTTTGGTTTTACACCGCTTTTAGCAATATTCCAGCAATATCACGGCGAGGAACACCAGAAATGGGCTTCACACATTGTACCAATGTCGGGAATCAAACCCGGGTCTTCGGCGTGACAAGCGAACACTTTAACCACTAGGCTACCCGACTGCCCATAAATGATTAACCAACAACAACGGAGTGCTGGCAAACATAACCATCCTTCCTTATATACTTCTCAAAACTCCCTACAGTACCAACTTTGTACACCTGGCCATGTCTTTAGCCTTCTCTTTCACAAGTACCATACATGCACAAACAACTAACAATAAACATCCATGGACCAGCTCCATTTATTTGGTCGCCCTCTGCCCACTCACAAGGCCGGGTCAACTGGAGCAAGACTCTGCTAGATTCCTCATTCAGTTGTATATATGTTTGCCCAAATTTTCAAAAATTCTGACAATATCCATGATAAGTATTACACAAAAGAAAGTCTGCTCCGGCCAACCAGCTCAATGTTGAGGTTATTATTCAGGGAACTTCCAACTTTCTCGTATATGTAAATCTCTTTCTCTGTAAAGGAAATTTCGGGATAAATGACTCTTTTCAGCATTTGTCAGAGTGATTACAACATAAAGGGAAACCATCCAAAATACGAAATGTTCGAATATACCTCAACACGGAGCAAATTGTTTTGGCTAGAATCTGACATTTCTTGATTATCCAGTAATAACTGAATTTGCTGTTATGTGTATTATGTGCACCATTACATAGACATTGACAAATTCCAGGTCCTACTACCCTGATGTTGAGGTTCTAGCGAGTCAGGAATGTCCCTATGGGTTCCTATTGAGCAAGCTCGATCAAGCATTTTTCAAGTATCAACCAAGATGGCCGTGGCCAACTTGATCTGTGGAAGGAAGTTGGATCACACATTAATATGTGCATGGTGAGGCATGGTGAGGCATGGTGAGGCATGGTCAACACATCAACAATACACAGTGTATAATGTCACCTATACTCTCCCACACACTATAACTAACAAAGCATTCATGCTAAAATTTGAGGCATGAGAAATGCTATGAGATAAAAGAAAAAAGACAAAAAAGAAACATTCCAACCACTGCCAAATCAAATGAAAAGAAAATGTAAATAACATAAACCAAGGTTCATACAGATATGAAACTCTAAACGTCTTTCAACTGTAATTTTCCAGGCCTTTTCGTTGGGTTATTAACCTTAGTCAACATTTATTAAATCCACCATATATGACAGTAGTAAGACCTAAAATCAGTGTGAACATCAGACATATTTCATCAAGGTCTATTTTCACAACCAACAAATAAAATGAATTAAGCCTTGTCACAAATTCTTGGGCACACAAATCTATCACTGTGATAAATGACACTTAAACTGTTATTAACAAGTACATGTATGTCATTTTGTACAAATTCAAGGCTTTTCAAGCTATTTTAGCCATTTTCAAGGCCTTTCAAGGTGGACACTAAAATTCAAGGCCTTTTCAAGCCTGTATGAACCTTGTAAATCACTGATTTGTAAATGAATCTCCAATCCCCAAACCACCATGACAAATAACAAATAAAATATGTCCTCAAGGCAACCCTAATCCCTGCTACTGCTGACAAAATAACTAAAACCAAGTTTTACGGACAAGCATAAACCGTAGATTTATCGGAAGTAAAAATAAATGTTTGTTACTCATAAACTTTATTTCAGTAGGTAATCACTCACTCTTGGAATATGAAGAAAATCTGTTTAACTCAAAAATAAACGGCCTAACATGCCAAAGTCAAAAAGGAAATTCAGAACTATTTGATCAAACAGCTAAGATCTCACCTCCTCCTCATATGCCTTCGTCTTGGCATTCTGGACCATCTTCTCACAGTCCTGTTGGAGCTGCTTCTCTCGCTTCTGCAGTTCTGTCATTTCCTGTTTGTAGGAGTCGACCTGTGACCTCATGTCCTTCACCTTCAGCTCCCACTGTCGGTTCAGTTCCTGCCATCTGATATTCCAGCTCTGATTGGCTTGTTTCAGCTACAAAAAAAAGATATTGGCTAAATACACTTCTTGGCTTCTTAAATATACAGATGGGACGTCCTGTTGCTTGTTGTTAGAGGGATTTAAACAGGTCGAAGTGACCCGCTCCGTGGGCTGATCATCCTGACTGCATGTCACTGTGCTCCTTTACCAAGGATCGTTGCTCCTGACTGCATGTCACTGTGCTCCTTTACCAAGGATCGTTGCTCCTGACTGCATGTCACTGTGCTCCTTTACCAAGGATCGTTGCTCCTGACTGCGTGTCACTGTGCTCCTTTACCAAGGACCGTTGCTCCTGACTGCATGTCACTGTGCTCCTTTACCAAGGATCGTTGCTCCTGACTGCGTGTCACTGTGCTCCTTTACCAAGGACCGTTGCTCCTGACTGCATGTCACTGTGCTCCTTTACCAAGGATCGTTGCTCCTGACTGCATGTCACTGTGCTCCTTTACCAAGGATCGTTGCTCCTGACTGCGTGACACTGTGCTCCTTTACCAAGGACCGTTGCTCCTGACTGCGTGACACTGTGCTCCTTTACCAAGGACCGTTGCTCCTGACTGCATGTCACTGTGCTCCTTTACCAAGGATCGTTGCTCCTGACTGCGTGTCACTGTGCTCCTTTACCAAGGATCGTTGCTCCTGACTGCGTGTCACTGTGCTCCTTTACCAAGGACTGTTGCTCCTGACTGCGTGTCACTGTGCTCCTTTACCAAGGATCGTTGCTCCTGACTGCGTGTCACTGTGCTCCTTTACCAAGGACCGTTGCTCCTGACTGCATGTCACTGTGCTCCTTTACCAAGGACCGTTGCTCCTGACTGCATGTCACTGTGCTCCTTTACCAAGGACCGTTGCTCCTGACTGCATGTCACTGTGCTCCTTTACCAAGGATCGTTGCTCCTGACTGCGTGTCACTGTGCTCCTTTACCAAGGACCGTTGTTCCTGACTGCATGTCACTGTGCTCCTTTACCAAGGACCGTTGCTCCTGACTGCGTGTCACTGTGCTCCTTTACCAAGGACCGTTGTTCCTGACTGCGTGACACTGTGCTCCTTTACCAAGGACCGTTGCTCCTGACTGCGTGTCACTGTGCTCCTTTACCAAGGATCGTTGCTCCTGACTGCGTGTCACTGTGCTCCTTTACCAAGGACCGTTGCTCCTGACTGCATGTCACTGTGCTCCTTTACCAAGGATCGTTGCTCCTGACTGCGTGTCACTGTGCTCCTTTACCAAGGATCGTTGCTCCTGACTGCGTGACACTGTGCTCCTTTACCAAGGACCGTTGCTCCTGACTGCGTGACACTGTGCTCCTTTACCAAGGATCGTTGCTCCTGACTGCGTGTCACTGTGCTCCTTTACCAAGGATCGTTGCTCCTGACTGTGTGTCACTGTGCTCCTTTACCAAGGACCGTTGCTCCTGACTGCATGTCACTGTGCTCCTTTACCAAGGACCGTTGCTCCTGACTGCGTGACACTGTGCTCCTTTACCAAGGACCGTTGCTCCTGACTGCGTGACACTGTGCTCCTTTACCAAGGACCGTTGCTCCTGAATGCGTGACACTGTGCTCCTTTACCAAGGACTGTTGCTCCTGACTGCGTGACACTGTGCTCCTTTACCAAGGACCGTTGCTCCTGACTGCGTGACACTGTGCTCCTTTACCAAGGACCGTTGTTCCAGACTGCGTGACACTGTGCTCCTTTACCAAGGACCGTTGTTCCTGACTGTGTGTCACTGTGCTCCTTTACCAAGGACCGTTGTTCCTGACTGCGTGACACTGTGCTCCTTTACCAAGGATCGTTGTTCCTGCTGCAAGTTGCTGGTGTGTCTGGGCCAGATTTTGTTATTAAGGGACCAGTTCAAACGTTTGATGTCGGGGAAAAAAAACCTTATTCCTTATGTTTTGAGACATATTCCCAAAAAACTTAATCCTGAAATGTCAAATTCCTGAGTTTAGCAGCCTCGTTTGTCACTCATTCTTGTGTTTTGCCCTACTTTTTCAGAACGTTTTATTAACTTGAAAAAGCGTTCAATATTTTTCAACATAAATTGGCAGATATATCAAACAGATCTTGAAGTTGTGCCTTTTGCTATTAGGGGATTTTTGGCATTTTTATTTTCTCGACTTCCATGGAAACAATTTGGACTTGGGTGAGGTAAGTGTCACTTCTGGAGCACAACTTGAAAAAACTGTGAAAGACTTTGGTACATATATTAACCAAGGACAGAAGTGGTCCCTTTGCTATTTAGGAATTTTTCAAAATTTGATTTTTTCATGTTTCCATGGCAACACATTTGACTTTGACTGTTTTAAGTTGGCTCTAATAACAAGTGGGAGTATTAGGGGCCCACTATGTGAGACTCCCCATAGCGCTGAGACTGCCACAAATCACATGGTGACATACACCTCTGTCAGCCCCCACTCTCTGACTACCTACCTCTTTGTTCTCTTTCTTCAGGCATCGGATGTTGGACATGACGGCGCCAAGGTCCTCTGGAAGTGATGAGTCTGGGCCCTGCTGGAACAGCTCCCCTTCCACGCCAGCCTTCCCCTGAGAACAAACCAGTCGACGGCTTTTAAATATTAAAATCTTCATAATAATTTCACAATATTTAGAATATTATAAACTGAAATGAAGCGTCATTACTGCCGCTTTTGCTTCAATTCAAATAATCAAATCAACATAGTCAAATTACTCATGTGAATCACTTTTAACTGATAAGGTTTACTAATGTTTTCTATCATTACACAGAACAGAAAAACATAATAAAATCTGCCAAAGACAGTGAATATATCACTGGTTTAATCCCAATTCATTTTATAAGTTTTAGGTAAAACTATGCAAGGGAGGCAACTGCTGTGTTACCTGTGGGGTCTCTACTGCCACCCAGTCTGCCAACCGGGTCTGTGACGTGAGAGGCTCGGAGGTGACAGGCAGGTGGTCCCGATCGTGTTCCAGCCTCTTGATCCGGCTAATGAGCCGCTTGTTTTCCTCTCTGTCGATCACAATAGAGTTCAATAAAATGCAGAAAACAACATTGATACCTTGGTCATATTTCTGTTGATGACTTTGCCAAGGCTAAGCCATACGGTATTTATCTGGTGATATTATGTTTAAAAACAAAAAATTATCACAAGTATATGGGGGGACCACGAAAATATGATGCAATTTTTTTCCAATAAAAAATTACAAATGTGAACAGTATTTTTGGATTGGTCATTTATTAAGGGGGGTTGGGGGTGTGTGGCAAAATATGATACAGTCCTAAGAATGAATCCCACCCCTTTAATAAATAGTTTCTTCTGTAACCATGGTGACACTTTACACATTTTATGACCTCTTCATATACGTCCTCTCCTTGCTTTGTGTAAGTGGTCTCCCAAGTAGAACCCTGTGCACATGCCCAGGGATCGACGTGTACACTTTCAAATCTGCACTTCATGTCTTACCCTCATCTGACAATAGCTTGGAACCCCTTGTACAGCAATGCACTGACACACCAGTGAAACAGTTACCATGGTTACAGGCCTATAGTTGGAAGTGAAAGGCCAATCACTGAATCAGATTGGAGAAACTAGCTGATACTCCAACATATCTGCGTATAGAGAAACATCATGTTTACCTGAGCTCGAAGTTCTGGTTCTTCAGTTCCTTCAACTCCATGGCCGTTGACGTCTTCAACCGCTGGTTCTCTTGGGCAAAGGTGTAGGCCAGATTCTGGAATACACTGACACTCTTATTTGTATATCATGGTATTCATAAAAGTCATGCAAGTGAAAATAAATGAATAAGACAGTTTCAATAATGTAAGTTAGAGATTAGGCAGAATATGTGAATATGTAATTATTTCCCTCTTCCTGAGGCGTGGGTGTCAACTGACTATAAAAGTACCATTTCCACCTTGCCGAACTAGGCTGGAATTCCGGAGTTACATTTTGGCTTGACAAACAAGTCTATGCATAGTCCAATCAAAATCGCGTGATGAACTAGACACACCGTTCATAAACAACATGGATTTCAACGTGCAGATTTCGGTTCAACTGGAGGGGTTGCAAAGCTTGTTTACCCCCAAGTGTCAGACGACAGATATTTTGCAAATCATTTCACGTTTTTAATCAAGGTGCTTCAGTAATCTGATGCACAGTGCAGGGTAAGACCTGTTTTATTACAATATAGATCTTGATTATCAATCAGATCGTCTTGACTGAGCACCACCATTTTGTTTCAAGCAATTGCAAGTGATATGACAATTGGGATCTGATTGGTCAATAGGAGGGAAATAGAAGGGACATAACTCATAATAGCCACTGGTAGTGCTACGATCGAGTCTGGAAATTCCAGACTAGTTCGGCAAGGGTGGAAGCTATTTCTTCCAAAGTCCATCTTTCTGTGAGTTAAAGGTATCAGTGTATAATGTTACCATGGTTACAATGCTAAATAATGAAGTAAGGTAATCGTTCGCAATGATGGCTAGAAATAAAGGAATAGCAATATTCAGCAACATTCCATCTTTATCATGACTGACAGTAAATAATCTAGGCATGATAACACACTTTCATCCATGTTAATGATCTAATCCTCAGCTCTTGTGACAAGCAATGGGTACCGTCACCCTATTGTGAACCAGAATTTACAAAAATAATCATCATTTGCACAACAGTTTTGGGAGCACTCCTGACGAAATGCTTTAAACTGTATACTGGATCAAAAGTATAATGTCATAAATCATGTCAGTAAGCTAATTACAGTAAATCTGTCAACGAATGAGAACAATGATACAATAAAAATGTCCTTACCTTGAACCTTTTGGCATCTTCCTCTGTTTTCGCAATGTCCTCCGACATCTTGCGGAACTTGGCTGCCAGTTCTGGTTCCTCAACGGTGCTGTGCATCTGTAGCATGTACTTCATCTGCACGCTGAGCTCCGAGTCCTGCACATCAACACAGGCTGTCTTACAAGCTCATAGAGGTTAAAGTGAGTGAGTGAGTGAGTATGGTTTTACGCCGCTTTTAGCAATATTCCAGCAATATCACGGCGGGGGACACCAGAAATGGGCTTCACACATTGTACCCATGTCGGGAATCTGACCCGGGTCCTTGGCGTGACGAGCGAATGCTTTAACCACTAGGCTACTCGACCTAGAGGTTAAAGAGTAGTACATAGAGGATATTATATGAGTGTTCATGTCATACTATGTCTACGACATGAGTGTCTAAATTCCAGAGTTTCATGAGTAAGAGCGAGGAAAATACCAGAATTTAGGCACGAGTGTCATAAACATAGTATGACATGAACACAAATAAAATGGTCTATTTATTACCAAAGAAGATGTCGAAGACGAATCTTTAGTGTTTACCTAAATGGACAGCAAGTCGCAACAGTAGTGGAACCACAATTTGTCAAAAGACGTCAACAATCTACAGCTATGACATTTCTAGTGTGACGTCATTGCCACCTCACGTTGCATAAGATTCAAATGACTTAAACAATTCTGTACAGATGACGGAAACAATACACTGTTGTCTCGTGACAAGACATGACCCAAGGGCACATATGATTTTTATGAACCATGATATGTTTGCCCTCGTACGTAATAAATGGTACTTATGTACGTATTATTTCAAAATAAATAGACAAGCATGTAAGACATGCAAGAAGATGCTGAAAAGCATCTTTTTAACCCAAAAACAATGAATAAGGACACCATGTAGAGAGATACGCTAAAAGTAAAATTGTTAAAAAACATCACCTCTGTTGTTTCTTTGAGAGTTGAAAGATCATCGCTGAATCAGCTTATTGCTCTGATTTCTGAATTTTGCTTAAAATAATCCACCTCTAGGATATGTGGTATGCTTGATACAATAAACTGATTACAATTGACATGATCATGATGATGCAAGCGATACTATCATATCACACACTCACCATAGGTCGGAGTTCATACTCATTGGGCTGACATTGGTACGTCTTTGGTCTGACATCTTGGACTCTTCGCGAAGTTCCCGATGACAAGGAGGGGAAGTTATACTTCTCATCAGGTCCAGAAGAGATGACAGACATACTGCTCATGCTGCCGGGCTTGTACGCCATCTGGTGGCCAACCTTCTCATATTCTGGCTCCTCATATCGATCGGAGTCGAGTTCCAAGTTTTGGGTCATGTTTCCACCCTTGGTGGTGGTCTTTCCTGTTTCGGTGCGAGATAGGTCGTTTTGGGTATCCACCATAGACTCCTGCATAGGAGTTATCTCTCTTATTGACCCGTGCATCTCGCTGGTCTCCGCATTGTCCCGGTTGCTGGCGACAGATCTCTCGGTGATTGTGGGCACACCGGGATCATGGGAAGGCCCCATCTGAGATACAGCTTCAACGTCAGCCTCGGCTATCTGGGTCATGTTCATGTCGGTATTCTGTGTCGGTTCCAGTTTAACGGTGGTTGTAGTAGTCTGTGAAGTTGACTGGAAAATTACAAGTTCTATTGATTTTATTCAAACTCAAAATTGAAACTCATGACAACTAGTCTCAGACCCCAAAAAGTAAACAATACTTGGGTTTCAGGTAATCCAACTGACCAATTCTTTTACTTTATTATCAAGGTACTAGTATCTGCTCAAATGCAGTTTTATTTGTTCCCCAACCAGTGGATCCGTTAGCATTCCAGTTATCATTCTCAACTCCCTGGGGAGTATACAACATTTGAAATTATCTTTTATCTAATAACTGTTATAATATGTACAAGTCATAGCACTAGTCTTGGAACTGTATAATAGTGGAAACTGTACTTGATTTTTGTTATTTGTGACTCGAAGAATGATGCAATTTTTGTGTTACTAGATTATATAGGTATATCCTTGCTTTTTAATGCGCATGGTCAACTAAAATAAAATACTAATTACATTAATATTTATGTATTTTGGTTCATTGTCGACTTTAGGAGGAATTATTTGTACAATTATGAGCAGACGTGTTTACCAAGATCAACTGTTTTTTATTTTTGTGTCTACATGTGCATAGCAATGGAAGTTATTCGCCACACGATATTTTTCAGGGTAGTCATTTGGCTACCTCTGAATTTTAGACAGTAGACAATTGAAATTTAGGTCGCATTGGCGACCGTTTTAGTTGCCACATTGAGGCCTGTGAACTGAAGCCCCAGCTATATAGACTGCATAGGGACATCAGTCCTAAATAACCAGGAAATGTGTTAAAACAAGTTGAACGTATCACATGGTCCCAGTAACTTACATGAAGGTCGGAGTCAAACTCAGATCCGTTAATCGATGTACAACTATCAAGTTTCTGTTTCAAATGTCTTTGTGCCACTACAAGCTTCTTGTTCTCTTCTTTAGCTTCCTGCAGTAAATCACCTGAAACACGAACATGATGGTGAACACAAACTGTACACATGCAGAACCAGGTCGATGGAAACGAGCAACCAGGAATCAGATATATCTTGTCTAAAGCTCAGAAATGATGGGCCGTTAATATTTTCAGTACCAAACATCTACACACCCTCGCAATCTAAAGCACTGCTTTAAACTCAACGTTTTTAAGCTGAAGATTGACAAAGTAGACACAATTTTATGGATAACAACTTCTTTAATTACTGAAAAGGTGATGTTTCGATATAGATCCTCATACTGTTGTCAAGCAAGATCTATACCGAAACATTGCCTTTACAGTATTGAAGAAGTTGTTATCCATAAAATTGTGTCTACTTTGTCATTCATCAAATTCTAAGTAATGCCTATTGAACAATTGAAGATAATTGGTTTTCAAATATGAACATTCTCATCATGACGAGAAGACTTTTGTGTAATAAAAATTCTTGCTATCCTAGTGTCAGTTTGTTCATTCTATAGACATGTCTGTTTCAGTACAGTTAGCAGAGTCAGAAAACAATAGTTGTGGCCACAAATACTTTTAATGTATGTAACCTTACAGATTTGAGCCCCCCCTCCCCTAATGTCAACACTAATCATTGTATCACAGAGCCTCTAGGATAAACATGATGATCATTTCAAACAAATGACACCAGTGACCCATAAAGACCCGAGTTAGAATAGGTCATTAGTAACTCAAGCTTGTGCGAGGGGGCTGTGCTTGTCACACGAGGCTGTTAATAGGATCGGGTGGTCAGGCTTGCTGTCTTGGTCGATGCACTTCATCGTATCCCAATTGCATTGATCGCGGCTCATGATGTCAATCACTGGATTGTCTGGTCCACACTCAATTACTTACAGACTGACGTCATGTAGCTGGAATAGTGCTACTGTGGCATTAAACAACAAACAAAACATGACACCATTATTATGACTATGAATGTCCAAACATGTAAAATACTGGCACTTACAACACAGGTTTCATTCCTGAGTAGTAGTAATTAACATGATTACATCCTTATTCATACATATTGTAAATTTGAGTAGCTGTTTGTAAGGTCCTTCAAAGATCACTTTGTGTGGAGATGTGGACTTAATGACTGTACAAATCTGTACTGTTTAAGTGACCAAAGAGAATAAAAAATAATGTACCAAGTGTCTTGTATCCTCTTATTCTTCCATGGAGTACTTTGTTTTCATTTTCAAGTCGTTTAATCCTGTCTTCATAATCTTGTAGTTGCTGGTTTGCAGGTGTGACATCACTGGAGGCACCATTAGGGCTGCTGCTTCGGTCCCGAGTTTCTATCTCAAACATTTTTACTTTTGTCAAACCTTTGGATTGTTGTCAAAGTAAAAATGATTCAGATACGGTACCTTCAATGATGTCTGAAAAAAAAGACAAAAACACAAATTAAACATAAGGTGGATATGGTTGGTTACAAAAAGAAACATTTCACGATATTAATAGGATGATGTACTAAAATATCACAGGAACTCGTTATTGAACAGTAAATAAAAATATATGCCCCTTATATGTAAGCAGAGAATAGGGGTACAGTATATATTTTTATTTACTGACAAATAACGAGTTCCTATTTAAAATATGTATCATGTACGTTAAAGTTATATAATATTAGAAGAAACAGTATCATATAGCCACTTTACATTAACTAAATATTAGTGCCAATCAGGGGTCCGGAAACCGTCAACCGTCAACCTGCCAATGTATGTACTATGCCATGTCATACAATTCAATGTGCTCTTGGTTGCTCAAACATGTGTGACGGGTTACAGGCCGGCAAAGCCACATTTCGAAAATAGATAGCCCAAATTGATGTGGCTCTCGCGGCAATGGTTATGGTTGCGTGATTGTATAATGTGGCTCTCGTGGCTATGCTGTCAAAACATGCTTTGTGATTCTAACAGGTTACCGTATATAACAAAACAAATCTTGTTTTCTCATTTTTTATTCAACAAGGATAACATATTCATCAAAACTTTACATTGATGAATATGAATAGCATATGAATATCATAATGGATTTAATGTCATTACTGCAGATGAAGGAGGTCGCCCACGTGGTCAGCATATTCCATCTTACTCAGGTGTTGGTTCAGGAGCTGGATCTTGAGGGACGCAATACGTGCATCGATTGCCTTGTACTTCTTTCTTCGTGAAGGTTCTGACCACTGGTGAGAGAGTCTCAGGACTGCAACCTCTTTGAGTGACTGCTCTCGCTGAAATAGCTTCACTACCTCGTAGATGTTCGGGTGGCACTTCTTGGCAAGTTTCTTTATCTTGTTGTGCCACCCTTCCAGGTGATTGTTGGTACGGTGGCCTTGGTTTTCGAAATGGTTCCAAATCTCTGGCATGAAGGCCCATCCTTGAACCCAACTGGTTGTCACGTAGTCCATGAAGGCAGTCACTTTAGGGCCAGCAATGGCATCAAGTCACACATCATCCACTTTGTCACGAGGTACTAGAGGGAGAGCAGCAGCTCTTCTCACCAGCTTCTTCACCTCCTCATCTTCCTTATAGTCCATCACCAGACCTTCTTTCTGCACCCTCCTCCAGATACATGATACAATGTTCTTGTCTGAAGTGAAGATGAGGATGTCGTCACTAACACGGTGTAGGAACTGGTCGCCTCCCTCAGTCTGGGAGTACTTCTCCTCCAGCTGGATCTGGGGTCTGCTGTCAGGAGGGGCAATTTAAATGTGGGACACTCATTTAAAGGTATCTCTAAAGAACACCACGCTTAGTAATTTAAATGTGGGACACTCATATAAAGGTATCGGTAATCGGATTAATTAATTACCCGCTAGAATAGGTGAAATGCACTCAGCTGAAAATGTGGCTCTACCGGCAATAGCCATTTCTGAAATGTGGCCCTCCCGGCTAGACACCGTGTGACGACTCTATACGACGCATTATTAATCTATTTTTAGAAAGCGTCGTAGTTTATTGACAGAACAATTGTTACAACATGTTGGCGCAATCAACACATGTCCTGTATCTACCCTAGTTGGTGATAGAATGCACGTAAATAACCTTATCCGCCAATATCCGGGCCCTTTTCTGTTAAGACATTTTTTTCACAACACAACATATGCCGTCAACTCGTCAAACTTTAGCCACGCACACATGAGTACATCGCCAAAACGCATTGCTCTGTAGGCCAGATAGTTTACGGGGTACAACGGACATGATTGGAGTAGAACGAGCATACCACGTCAGTTGTTGATAGCCACATCAATACTGCATAATATAATGAAAGTAAAATACAGTGTTAGAATTCCTAATGAGAAATATCTTACACATTCCATGCCCACTCCTGAACCGTATTTTCACATCATCGCGTTCAACCAGGAAATAGATTCTGATTGGATGTGAGACACATTGTGCAAAATCTTGACTCGTGGATGGAATTACTGTATTTTAAAGGTATTAAATATCTCGAAGCAGAATCAGTGATTCGTCAGTTCTGTCTAACAAAATAACCTTTACAATAAAAAAAATCACTTTTTGTGCAAAAGAAACATAGAGTAACTAGATTGAAATTTTGAATAAACCGGCGTTCGTTGCAGCGATCGATTCATAATTATCATACGCTCCGATGGGAAATCCCCTTTAATCTTTTCCGTTTTGGTGAATGTTTTGGTTCGTATAGAAAGAAAACACGTTCTGTTGCGATTTCTTGATTGAGTGAGTGAGTGAGTGAGTTTGATTTTATGCCGCTTTTAGCAATATTCCAGCAATATCACGGCGGGGGACACCAGAAATGGGCTTCACACATTGGACCCATGTCGGGAATCGAACCCGGGTTTTCAGCGTGACGAGCGAACGCTTTAACCACCGGGCTACCCGACCGCCCCGATTTCTTGATTGAAGTGAATTCTTTCACACAATTGAGACAGCCTAACTTCTTTTAAATCTAGCCTTGATCCCCTGGACATATGATCAGAATCGTGATTACAAATCTCTATCAGTGATATTAGGACTTTACGACAGATCTGTATCAATCTTAAAATTTGATAAAAATTCTCACGACATTTTTAAATGTGTTTTAGATCTACATTCTCAAAATACGATCAATCTTTTCACATTATGGTTAAGAGTCACACACTCTGTATGGATTATCATGCAGGGAACTGGACAATCCATACCAACGGAGATCCAGACCCATTTTTTGGCCGACTTCCAAGAATTGTTTTATTGGCATTCTCGATTTTCCAAAGTTAGTGAGTAAGTAAGAAACGTACAACTTTATGGATAACAACTTCTTGTTTATTGCACATAGCTACGTGTTCGATGCAGATTATTACACATGCAATAAACAAGAAGTTGGTATCCATAAAGTTGTACGTTTTCTGACTTCAAAGAAGGTTCACTCCCAATTGTCAGACGTGCCAATCACCGATAGGTCAGTGCAGTGTGACCAGTATCACTGCCCAGCCTTACCTACTTAATTAATGAGCATCTCCCAACTGTGTGCAGAGTAAGATACTTCAACTCGTTTAGGTGATACAGATGTAGATCTACCAGATTTTTAACCAGTGTTTATAATTAAGTTGTGTTTGATCTGTGCCCGTTTTTTTCAGTGATATAGAACATCCATGGGACTCAGTGTATGTTAATAAAATCGGGTGTCTTTAGACTTTATGGTGCATTCACATCAAGTGAATTAAATGCTAGAATGAATAAGAACGTATTGAAAAGATTAACAGAACAGAACAGAAAAGAAGTGTATTCAAAATGAAAACTTGGGCCACAAGCCGTTCGTCTTACAATTTACATTTACAAGGCGGAAGGAGTCAACAGTTATCAATAGAAGCAGTATTAGATATATTTCGAGATGTACATGATAAGGGTTTTACTATCACATTTTAACAATTTTTTCATTTTCACTTGGGTTTTGCCAGTAATATTCAGTAACAATATGTAGTAGTTTAAATACTGAAAACAGCAATATATGCCACCACGGCCAATTGAGTTAAATCAATTTATTTAATCCCAATGTTTTAAATGTATAACGAAATTTGAATTAAAAGTGCACAAAATGTTTGAATATGTGAAATTAGTGCTATGAGTTAAATACTATGAAAATGCATGTATGCCAGAATATGTGATTTTAGTGCTGTGAATAAATGTTAATGAACATGATTTTCTGACGTTTTTACGGTCTAATTTGGTCAAAGCAGTCCGGTTTCAGACATCTTGCTTTAAAAAGTAACTGAGTACGGGTTATAGCCATTTTCGGTGGGTGTAGTATCCATGTCATTCTGTATGAATCCGACTTCAAATGTAACAACCATGGTATTTAAAGGTATTTGAATCTTTATTTAAACATCACAATCGTATAGTGTCATAGTTATAGATCTAGATGCTTGATAAAGTCATAAAGTTAGTCGGGCTTGACAACGGCGTAAGGATCTAAACCGAAACGTCGCTATTACAGTATATACTATAATAAACAAGTTATCAATAAACTTCTTTGAAAACACGCCTCGTTCTTCGATGTTCTTTGCGAATTACCTTCTAGCTATCTTATATAAGATAATAATATTGCCCTTCCCGACACTCGTTGCTGTATAGGCCTACTTATGCATATGCTATAGGGAGGTGTGTAGCCGCTGGGGTAGTATCATCAATTTCTTATACCACAACATGGTGTTCACTTGGTCTCTCAGAATGCAATTATGCATGAGTGAGTGAGTATGGCTTTACGCCGCTTTTAGCAATATTCCAGCAATATCACGGTGGGGGACACCATATATGGGCTTCACACATTGTACACATGTCGGGAATCGAACCCGGATCTTCGGCGTGACGAGCGAACGCTTTAACCACTAGGCTACCCGACCGCCTCCAATTATGCATGAGGGCACGTTGATCCGTTCACCGGATGTTATCGACTTTGAATAATCAACACACACCCTTCCCCCGCTTCCTATTTTACCTCTACCATTATTTTCCTCTAGCCTTTGCACATAATATCATAAAGCAAATGTAACTATTATATACATTGTTTGAAACGTTGTATAGTGCAATTGCATATGGTTCCCACTTAGTATGAAGCTGACATCAATATACCGAAAAGGGGTGGGTGGGTAGTCTCGGGGTTTTACTAAAGCGTTGACTTGCCACACTTAGCGCCGGGGTTCGTTTTTCTGCCTTTGCATGTGTTTGTGACAAGTGCCACCGGTGGGGCAGGATACGCTAACCTTTTCGCGAACACCTGGTATCATCACTACCTGATAGTGCTTCATAAACACATGCTTATGATATAGTCGGAATCGTACAAACGACTCTGTTTTGAGCAGAGAGTTCTGCTTTTATTTTGTCGCTTTTATTTACTATACGGAAAGCCCATTCTTGGATGTTCT